CATAAATCTCTGTCTGGGAGCATGTAAAAAAGTAAAATCCGGCTCTTTCCTGATTGATCTATCTGCGGACAAAAATATTTTTAAACTGTCTTTTGATTGGTTGGTGCTAGTTAGCTTTTCTTGTTTGTTTTTTATTAGATTATCCTATCATCACAGCTATAATTAGATTAATAGTTTTGTTTGTGGAAACACCACGTAAATTTATTACTGCAATTATTTGGTGTTTCCACAAACAAAACTATTATATGTTTTACCGCCATGCAAACATACAAAGAACTTATAATTAGATTGTTGTTGTCGTTGTATGAAATTTGAATTTCTCCTGGGACATTTTGATTGAGTACTAAATATAAACTTTACTGTGGGTGGAAAGTGATCGGATTAAGGTTTGTTTCTAATATACTGGAAGCGAAATTATAATTTTGGTAATCCCTTAAATTGTTCAACACATTGGTAATCTTCATCGATCATAACTCTTGGCGTGTGAGGGCCAGTAGGGAAAATATAGCCTGCGTAGCAAGCGGTATTCGCGAGCATAAGAGAACGGGCAGCTTGAAATACAGCCTGCCCAAAAACTACACATTCTGAGTTCCGCCCACCGAACGCATGGTTCCGCCCAACCTCGTTCCCAGGCTCTTCCCTCTTTAGGAGGAAAGATCCTGGCAATAGCTGGTCACGTGGCTCCCAGATTCTCGGTGCTAAATTGAAATTGTACTTAGGGAGAGGTGGTAGAGGAGTACGCTTGGAAAATTACAACTTGTGTGTTATAGTTTCGGGCGATAAAATTGAAATTTGCAACAGAAATCCTGAAATATTTTATATTTATTATCACACGTCTTCCTCTATATCATTGAGTGTTGGGTTACATTCAAGCGAGAAGTTGGACAGATTTTAGTGAACATCAAGGCTTGGCAACGAAAGCACACTTCGCTCAGTTCGCTAGCTGTAAAAATCGTCCGGACCAAAAATTCTTTCTGTTGTCAGAATTGAAGTGTATCCTGTCCGATACGTAAACCCAACTGGTTTACCTTACTATATGTAGAGATGTGGAATTCCTATAAAATAGCAAGATCCTGTGATCCCGCCAACTGTGTGTAAATTCCAAACATGCTCTCCCGACTGTGAAAAGCCGGTCAAATACTATGATATATATACCGTTTTGGCATCGCTGAGACTCTATGATCAGGAGTTATGTAGAAGTATAGCTCTCTGTTATGAAACATATGGTAAAGTCATCCGATGCAGGCAAAGGCAAAGACCGGATTCTCCGTTGCGCAATGCGTGCGGAACAATTTTAATATTTAAAAAAATTATACACAATTACTATATAGCTTATAGTTATAGTATTGTATATAATATGCGTTATACAATTATTTTATATTTATTACTATAATACACCAGGCACATTATAAATATTATAAAGAGCTTTCTTTGCCAGCAGTTTGATCTATCCTAAATTATATTTTGTCATCGAATAGCATGAGATCCAGTCATCCAGCTTGTATTTTAACTGAAATAAACACACGCTGCTGTGAGCTAGACATCAAATATATCAAAGTATCGCCGTTACATTTGGTTTCCAACTATGCCGCACTAGAGACAAACAGCCTATCAATATATCAATAGAAACTTTTATAAAATGCTTATAAAATCTCAGAAAATATACTACTAGTAATATGTCTGTGCGAGACTTTGTGCGTATATATAGATAGAGTTTATGAATTATGCCGTATATTCTACATTTTGTCATGGATGCACATAAAATACTTTGCTGAATCTTATCTGCTGTTATTCACGTGGCAAGGTATAAAAGGCGGGCTAAAGGGCTATATAATCACATAGAAAACAGTGCAATATTGAATTGCCTTCAGATGTTCAACAACATACTCGTGCAGACGAAAAACTTTGCAGTGGCGTAGCCAGACCTTCATTTTTTTTTTGGGGGGGGGGCAAAGCGAACGCTGAAGGCGCAAGACCATCTAGGGGGGTCTGGGAAAATTTTGAAATCTAGAGTCTCTGAACTGAATGCGATTTCAAGCATTTTGGGGGTGAAATCTTGCAGAATTCCGAAGATTATAAAGTACATTGAAGACATAAATTTCCCCAGACATTTCTAATTTTCTACTCGGAATTAAATAAATTGGAATATTCACCTTGAAAAACAGGAGGAGCCGGTCAGCGTCACCTTATTTCCCCTCTGTGATGCTGGGGGAAGAAAGTCCCAATGTGATTTTGGAATTTGATCAGAAATGTTGCATTTAAATCATTTTAGCTTCTATGAGACAGCATTTCCGTATTCTCAAAATTGCGTTGCTTTTTTATACGATACAGAATAAGTCTGAGAAGAATATTCATGCTATGATAATGCATACATGTAAATCTAAACTAAATCTATTCTTCTTGGAACCATATCTACAACTGCTTTAACGAAATTTTACAACTGATCAAGTTCCTCCAGTATATTATTATATTATTATTATTATTATTATTATTATATTCTATATTTTAACAGGTTAACTTGTTCAGCTGTTGAGTTCAATGGCTGGTATCCTACAAGGACCTGTATTTACAAATAATATACTAATATAAAAACTCTATTAGAAAAATGTCTCTATAAGAAGTCAAATTAAGTCAATATTCATAGTTCAAGGCTGTCTAAAAATGTTTTACATGCATATAAAAATTATTTGTACCAATGCTTTAAATTTCGTTTAAAAATAACAACAGATTTTTCAGCTTTTAGTTCTTTCGGAAGTTTGTTAAACAACAAACTTCCTTGAAATTTGAAGGTCTTATCCTGTTCGTCGTTTTCCTCAGTCGAGACGTACTTAATCAGTTTCAGCTTCGAGAATGTAACGCGTACCAAGCACACACAATTTCTCTACGGATTTAGCCTTTTTCAGAGAATGTTTTTTTTGCGATTGGGGGGCGACCGCCCCCCTTCGCCCCCCCTTGGCTACGCCACTGCGAAAAAGGAAAAGCATAACAGTTGTCTTATAATTCTGTACTGTGGAGTCTCTAACAATTATTGTACCTTATACACTCCTTCCTACAATACCCAGTGTAATAAAATCTGTAGCATATAAACAGTCTATAAACAGTTTTAGAATGAATACAATGGACATTTAATTTCATTTGAGTATTCGGCTAGTGTCCAAATGTATAACTTTGCCGAAAGACCTCAAAGGCCCCACGACCTGTAAACATGCAGTCACTCTCGAGACGTCTGTTGAAGTTAACAAGTAAATCAATGCAAAGTTTACTGTATACCGTTTCCAGAAAACAACAATTTAGTGATTGTAAATATGTGAACCAAAGGCAGAGCAGAAACGCGTGAAATGAAAGTGCCTTTAAGTGCACCCAAAGCGGCAAGCCCGAGAGAACATAAGAACAATAGAGCACATAATCATACGTTTTTATTGCTTGACTTGCTGACTTGTTGCTATAAAAATATGTTTAGCATATTTTTATAGTTTAAGAGCAAACAGAAATCAAATTTAGTAAGTATTTTGACGCATATGTGATTCTCAAAGTTGATTGTACAGAACACTCACTCCTTGCGATCGAAGTGAAAAGTGCCGAAGTGGAAACATGTAATATGATACTTTCCCCACACACCCTTAGGCAATCAATTCTATTATGTTATTAGCTATAGTCGTTACATAGTTGTAGGAGAGACAGCACCGCGCATGAGTAAACCAGTGTTCATGAAGACCAGCGAGCACGCGTTTCTCTTGGCGCCGTGGATTTTCGAAGATCTGTTGACTATCTCGTATTCAGCTAAGTTTACAATTATTTGTATTTATTTTATTACTACAGTATACTTTAAACATGTCTGACGTTGAACAAGACCCTGAGATTTTTTCACATTCAGATACTCCGTCCGACACGCCCATGCGGTTGACTATTCTTTCAAAAAGACATGGCCTTCAAAAAGGCATGGCCGAAACCACAAAATTGTTAGGCGAAACGCGCGCGGACCGTATGTCCGCACATTCCTCCGCCAGACCTGATTGACATGAATCAGTGTCAACCGCTCCAGAGGGAGCAGATATACCAGCTCCAGAGGAAGCACACACACGAGCTTCAGAGGAAGCCATCAACAACCATTAGTTTTCTTTGTTTATCCTACTGATAAGAAGTTATGTATTGTGGCACATTTGCTTGAATATATCAAGCGAACGTCTGAGTTACGAGGGGAGAATAAACAGTTACTTATTAGCTTTATAAGACCGCACAAGCCAATCTCCACAGAGACCACATCTCATTGGATAAAAATTTCATGATAGCAGCAGGTATTGATACCTCGCAGTATTATTATTATTATTATTAAAAAAAATATATATTTACTGATTTTGTAACCGAAGGTTAAATTACATCAGCTATACTACAAATAATTAAATATAAAGGAGTAAACTACTATTTACAATTTAATTTCGAAATAATTTGTGGTAAGAAGGATTTTCTAAAACGTTCTGTTTTACAATAATAATTATTATATTTACAATTTCCCCTCGTATCATAGACCGAAGAGGATTTATTAGGTAAAAATTCATCCAATTTTTGAAGGTTCTCATCTCTCAAAAAGAACTGTTCGCATAAAATCTCACGTCGTTCCTTCAAGGATGGAATATTAATAAGTTCGCGTGCATCGTTATAGCTAAGTTCTGGTAAAATAATTTCCAAAGCTCTTCTTTGAACCCTTTCAATATCATCACTCAAATAACCTGGAATGTTGAAGTGCCAAACTTGGCAAGCGTATTCTAAGACTGGCCTTATAATAGTGGTAAATGCGATGAATAACATTCTAGTGTCAGCGTTGGTTCGTTTCAATAACCTGAGCATATACAATCTTTTCCCAGATTTCTTAACAATTTTATTAACGTGTTCATTCCAATTCATTTTGGTTTGGATCGTAACGCCAAGAATTTGGGCAGAATTTACGCGTTCAACCTCAGTGTTCTCGATTAATAATGCTGGGAAATTCCGTTTTACCCTACCAAAGTCAAGGATCATTTCTTTACATTTAGTGACATTAAGTTTCATATTATTTGTAACCGTCCAATTATAGACATAGTCGACGAGATCCTGAAGATTACTGCTACAATCAACCATGACACTTTCAGTAGCCGTACTATCATCTACATACTTCCATCGGTCGGGCCATTCATCGAGGAGATCGTTGATCATAACCAAAAAAAGAACAGGACCCAAAACAGTTCCCTGCGGTACTCCTCCGTTTAAAACTTTCCAACTCGAAGACCAACTACCCAGCTTCACACATTGCCTCCGTCCAGTTAAAAAACTTTTAATCCAATTAAAAATAGTTGGGGGAACGTTCAATTCCAATAATTTATGCAACAAAATGTTGTGGTCTATCAGGTCGAAAGCCTTAGAAAAGTCAAGAAGAAACACTCTAACGGCGCACTTTGACGCATCAGTTTCCTTTAATAAGTGATGTACCAAACTAATTAAATTATGAGTCGTTGAGGAATTCTTCAAAGAGCCAAATTGCCTCTTATCAATTTTGTTCTTGATTGAACTAATCAACCAATCAGATACAAACGATTCGCAGATTTTAGACAAAGTGGGTGTCAATGAAATAGGACGCAAATCGGTTGTTATGTCTGCAGGTACCGATATTTTTGGTATTGGAATAACTTCAGCGTCTTTCCATACTGCAGGAACGTGCTGTTGCTGTATCGAAGCATTAAAAAGTGAGGCAATTGGTAAGGCTAAGATATAAGCATAATGTTTAAGTACCCAATTTGGGATGCCGTCTGAACCTGACGATTTCGAGACACATATATCAGACAATTTATTATACACACTTTCTTCGTCAATAATAAATTGGGGATGAATGTTACTTTCATTAAACTCGAACTGACTTTCTGTAGATTCTGGCTGTAAAGGTGTAATTTCATTAGTAATTGATATGAAGAAGTCGTTAATTTTATTTGCTAAAACGTTTCCAACAACAATCTCATTGTCAAGGACCATAGACGATATTGCCTTTCTCTTCGGATACCCTGCGAATTGTTTTAAACAATCCCACCACTTTTGCGGGTTAGGATTAGATTTAAGCTGGTCCATTTTTTTATCAAGATAGCTGGACCTCAGTTGTTTCCTTTTTCTATTGGCTAGGTTACGCAAATAATTGTACTTTTGGATATTTCTGTCATGATATGCTTTTTGCCTATCTTTAATGATTTCTTTGAATTCGGGCGTTACCCAGGGTTTATCATTAGCATGTAGTTTGATAATTTTAATCGGAAAGAAACAATCTAAACCACTGTTGATAACTTTCGTGAAAATATCTAGCTTGTCTTTACACAAGACAGTACGATACAAAGTCGACCAATTATAATCAGCTAACCATTTTCCAAACGCTGTCTTGTTGGCATATATATTACGTCGAATTTTCACTTTATTGGTCTCGTTTTTTATCAGATTTCTTTTAAGTGTACATAACACAGAGCTATGGTCGCTTAGTCCAATAGGAGAGGTTACCAATGCAGGGTTGCAACAGGCAGACATATTCGTAAGAATTAGATCCAGGGCAACATTTTTTCTCGTAGGTCTTTTGACAATTTGCTTTAGTCCGAAATGTCTTAGTAACGCTGAAACAGGACATCTATTAAAGTCACCGACCAGGAAAATTCCTGCATTTGGGTACTTCATAAGGGCTAAATCGAGGCTTAAGATAATGTGTTCGACTAGGGCATGATTATCGTTGGATGGTGGATGATAAATAACACATACTATCAGGCATGAAAAGCCTCGAGGAAGTTTATACGGTCTCAAATATAACCACAGGGTTTCAAAACATTCGTCTTGTAGTTCGGGTAATAATTTAAATGGAATAGATGATTTAATAAAGGCGCACACGCCTCCTCCTATCTTGTTAACTCTATCACGCCTGACAAGGGAGTAACCATCAATTTCGACAGCGCTGTCGTGGATGTTTTCACTCAGCCACGTTTCTGTAATAAAGGCCATGTTTATACAACTTGCTTTCAGAATAGTTTCTAACTCATCAATCTTAGGAAGAAGTGATCTTACATTAGATAGAATAAACAAGGGTTCACCACTTTGGGGAACACTGTTAAGGGGCTCCTGATGAGACTTGGAACTATGCAGGTACATTGTATCCTGAGTGCTTATACTTTCGGATTTATCTGGGAACATTGATGTTTCAATATAAATTAGGTTATTAAAATTTGTTGCATTAGTTGTTTGTCCATTTACTAATGTTTGTTGATGATTATATAGGTTTAGGGATAAGAAATAATCTAGTAATAAAACCTGAACCATTTCGTTTTGTCTTTCTGTCTGATTTCTGAACGAAAAACCTGCTCACATGAAGATTTTGTTTTTTTCCGCCTCAGACTAGTTTTTCGTCGATCTTTCGTCGGTTCCTCTCTTCTAGTGATTCGAGTTGGAATGGGTTGGTTGTTAGCTATTCTACCCTGTACCAAATTACTCTGCTGCGTATGTAGTTTAGGTGATGGACCCCCGTGGCCTTTGACCTTTGTCCTATATAAGCCGCTTTTGAACGATGGAAATAACTTGGGTTTTTTAATAATGAACAATTTTCTAGGGCTTTGTTACGCTTATTATCTGGACCAACAGATAATTCTTCAGTTTCTATTAATAATCTTTCATTGTCATCAACAGTGAAAACTTCGCATACAATAACGCTATTATTACCAAGACCCTCACCACTGAAAGAAGCATCGATCTTCAAGCGGGTTTTCAACACTTACAAAACTTTCATATTATCCAGACATTGTAAAGAACTAGAGGCTCTCGTATTATTTTCAAGGTCAACATGAGGCTCGAGTGTTTGATGTATGCATGTTTGATTTAACGGCTCAGTGATTTTTGCTTCAAAACTACTTAATTGGCGTTTCATTTCTTCGTTTTCGGTTTGAAATCTCGCCAATAAACCTTCGACCTTGCTAATACGGGAGGTGTTATCAAGAATAATCCTTTCATTGACCACTAGGTCAAGTTTTATACCCTCAAAATCCGTGGACAGTTCTCTACATTTACAATGGCATATTTGGCCGCCAATATTTGTCATATTTGGGTTAATTGCAGCATTTGCGGCTTCCACAACATTGCAGTTTTTTTTCATGCATTCCGTTTCAACAGTTGATTCCACACGCAAACAAGAACAGTTATTGTTAATCGGATTCTCAACATCAACTGCGGCAGTGCAATGATCGTCGAATATATAAGTGTCGGTAAACAATGTTGTTAATCTACACACAATATCACTTGCCTTCTCGCCGGAGATTGCCAAATATTTTTTGTTTTTCCACCAATTTATCACAATATTTCCCCCCTCGAACTGCTTCTTTTCGCCCCCAATAGATGACCATTTTCCAACTAAACACAACTTGTCTTCAAAGAACTCCTGTAGTGATGAATAATCGCCAGACCACGACATCCTAAGATCACGAGCAGCTTCCACATCTCACCTCGCTTCCAAACATTTTGACTTGAAAAAATTATGCTTGCAGCCGGTTGGGCTAGAGAGGAAACATTTCAGCGTTTTTATAACTTTAATACTGCTGCATTTAACTTTGGAAGTGCCATAATGGGCTCGTTATCGTAAATTGCTATTATTGCTTACTATATGTTGTTAATTATACTTGTTATATATATTAATATAATAAAAATTTTATACCGAAAGCTTTCGTGTTTGTCTTTGACCATCACGAAATTTTAATGTTAGTCCAATGTCAGCTCTAGAATCTCCTACCAACCTCGTACCCAGGGCTTTTTGCTTCCGCGGTTGGACGGTCAGCGAAAAAGGCCCTAGCTTCGGCTGGTCTGTTTTGCAACTTGATTGGTCAATGATTTTAAATGTAATTATTCAATATATGTGGGAATAATTATTATTTTGGTGCCGAGAGCGGAGTGACAAATTTATAATTAGTTCTTGAAAGACTAAAGTATCGAGCAAATAAGATTTTTGATATTTCGCTTGAGATACAGCATGAATTAGGGAAAGACAATACATCACAAAACAATTTGGTCCAAATTAAGTCTTTGTACATTTTGTATAGACGAGCATTTGCTTCGGTTCAACATACATTTCTCACATGCGTCGGTTTACACATCGTTGATTTTTTTCCTGAACAATTAATTTTGGCGACCTCCTCCCCCCCCCCTCCCTTTTTCGGAACATCAAACAAATTTTCCAAACATCACAAAATTCGCATAATTTCCCTCAAAATTGACAGAATTTGTTCCATTTATTTTTATAATAACCCAATATTGCCCGACTGTGAAGCGAATATTGCCCAACTGACTTTGTTTGCCCAACAAACTGGGGTTATTATTAAGAGAGATTTTATTGCTCTGACTACTTTTTTGGCTTTTTAATTTCCCACTCTTCGCCCGACTTATGTCGAACATTTGCCCGACTTTTCGACTTTGTAATCTTTTTTATCCGTACGCCTATGTGAACAACGAAAACCGAATAAGTCAACTTATTTTGTTGCTTTCTCTTTGATTATATACGCAGCATTGAGTTTGTTTACCCTGTCAGTAATTACAATGTATATAATTATTCTATATACGTACTTATACGCATAAATTATCATAATTGAACACCCCAAATGTCGTGTATTTAGATTATACTTTTAACAAAATATGAATAATACATAAACATGGCCGATCTACATATCTAATGCGCATGTCCGTGCGTATGACCGCTGTCCGTCTATATCTATATATCTAACACCATCTCTCCTCTTAAGGAATGTATCATAAAATATTGTTCATGAGTTCACCATCGTGTTCGAACAATTATGCTAACCATAACAGTAAGTAATAAAGCAGTTCTCTATGTAATTTTCTTAAACAGTTTTCGGATCAAACAGTTAAGACCCCACCTCTCGGGTGGTTGGTGTGATCTAGTTGGGTAGCGTTATTCAGATCCTGTTGTAGCCCTACCGGCTTCTTGTTGTTGCACTACTGGTGGATTCGTGGCTAGTTCGATATCCGGCTCTGCGACAATTTCTTCTGCTGGTGCAATATTCTGGCCAGCCTCTCCGAGCTCTGGATGAGGATCAGCCGTATCACCACTCTGGTCATTTACTTTCACACTCGAGGCTCGCAGCTGGTCGATGTGACGTCGCCAAATTCGATTTGGACCAACTTTTATCTCGTACGAAAGGGGTCCCGTTTGAGCTCGAACTATGCCTGGTAGCCACTTGTCTTTCCCACTGTAGTTACGTGCCATGACAGTCTGACCAATGGATGTGGGGGAATGTCCTTTCCTCCCCGCTTGATCGATTTGCCTGTTCATCACTTTCCTTTGTAAATCAGGTTTCACCAAATCGAGGCGAGTCCGTAGCGGTCTGCCCCAAAACAACACGGACGGTGATTCTCCAGTCGTCGAATGCGGGGTGTTCCTGTAAGCCAAAAGGAACTTTGCCATATTGGTTTTCAGCTGGGATGCACTTTGTTTCTCGCATTTCATAGCATGTTTGGAACTCTGAACAAAACGTTCCGCTTGACCGTTGGTTGCAGGGTGGAATGGGGCCGTGGTAATATGCTTGATACCATTAGTCTTCAAAAATAGTTGGAACTCTGCGGATGTAAATTGTGGCCCATTGTCGGTCACCACCTGTGCTGGCACTCCATATCGGGCAAAAATAGTTCGGAGTCGGTCAATGGTCTGCGTCGATGTGGTGGATGGCATTATTTCCACTTCAGGCCACTTCGAGTGTGCATCTACAATGATAAGGAACATTCGTCCTAGGAACGGCGCAGCAAAATCTAAATGGATTCTCTTCCAAGGTGTGGTTGGCCATTTCCAAGGGTGTAGTGGTACTTTGCCGGCTTCATTCTGTTGAAGTTGACAACCAGGGCAGCTCTTGGCTAGTTGCTCAATGTCCTTCGCGCCAGAGACTTCATTTTAACAATACCGAGGTGACCTTCGTGAAGCTCGGTTAACACTTGATTACGCAACTTTGCAGGAATGACTGCTCTGTGTCCAAGCATTAGGACACCACAATGAACTGTCAGTTCGTCTTTCCGCTGGTAAAACGGTTTAATCGCTTCATCTTGTGGAGTGGAACATCCTTTCATAACCAACTCATGGACCTTCACCAATAGAGGATCTCTCTGTGTTTCTCGTTTGACCTGTTCTGCTGTGACTGGCAAAGGCTCAAACTGGGTGGCATAGAAGAGGCCCACTGGATCTGGCCCTTCTTCTGTTGTCTCACTATGCAAGGGTAATCGAGACAAACCATCTGCATTCCCGTGCAACTTAGTGTTCTTGTATCTAATTGTATAGTCAAAACCCGCCAAGAACAAAGCGTAGCGTTGTAATCTAGCAGCAGTGACAGCAGGAAGGCTTTTGCTGGGATGAAAAATTGAAGTGAGAGGCTCATAATCAGTTAGTAAGGTAAAGTTCGTACCGAAAAGGTAATTGTGGAATTTCTTGACTCCCCACACTGTAGCCAGTGCTTCTTTATCTATCTGTGCGTAGTTGCGCTCCGCCTTCGACAGGGATCTCGATGCAAAACGCTATCGGGCGCTCTGTGCCGTCTATCATGACATGGGACAGTACTGCTCCAATTCCTACAGGTGAAGCATCACAAGCCAGTTGTAAGGGAAGGTTAGGATCATAATGTGTAAGCACCAGATCTGAAACAGTCATTGCTTTAACTTTGCAAAAGGCTTCTTCGCATTGATCTGTCCAGTTCCACATTCAAAGTAATGAATATCAATCCTATGACCAACAGTCCCACTAATAGTATGAGAAATACCACCTTTAATGACCCTACAACTACTGATAAGGATCCGCTAATTGACCCTAACATATACACCTCCCATACCATTGGACCAACTTTATTCAATGAATTTAATATCTACGACGAGTTTAGGAATATAGCAAGTGACCAGCCTAGAGTTCTAAACTCCGACTTAAATCAGTCAACTGAAGACATTATAAATATATCCCATAATGAAACTGATATACATAATGAGTCAGTTCTTATTGTTAAAGATCAACCTAGCGTCTCGAATACCGATCTCGTAAAAAACTGCACACTAACTGAAGCTACTAATCCAAATAAAGCCAGTAAAACTAAGTCAACAACGGGTAAATTTAATACCAGCACATCTCGATTAGGTAATGGACGTTTTAACCGAATGACACCTAAACGCCCAAAACATTTAACCCCGTGTCCATTCCTGAGGAAAAGAAAATTCTGTAAAAAAGGCAATAATTGTGACCTCAATTTTATAATAACATCCAACGACCCTCCTATAAGATAATGGACAAAACTGTCTCCTCACCCAGTTTTCATTACTCCCCTTTTCCTGTGAATCCCTATTATTTCCCTCCATTTCGATCCCCAATATACCACCCCACATCCCAACCTTTTCCATACCCTCCTTCATTGATGTCAGTACAAACAACAGGATATTGAGTACTGATAGACATCCGCGTAATGGTCGTTGTCACCGTGCTCGTACTCACAACCCTTCAAACTGTGTCTACGTGTCTGTACATAGAACTAACTTAAATTCAGATTCTCATACAAAATTCCTACGTTTCGCCAATGTTAATGCGAGATCTCTTAAAAACAAAACAGCCGAAATCGTTGATCATGTTTTGAGCAACGATATTGATGTGTGTATTGTGACTGAGACCTGGTTAAAAGACGTTGACACTGTTAGCATAGCCGCGCTTTCTCCCCCTGGTTACTTTTTTAAAAACCTTCCTAGACAATCTAACAGAATGGGTGGAGGCACTGGCATTATGTTTAATACCAATTTTAAAGTTACTTTAATTGACGGAGGTGAAAAACGATCTTTTGAATACTCTGAATGGAACTTGGCTTTACTCAACCGTACA